TTCCTCAAACCTATTGGTTGATCTCGATCTTTTCGGTTTGAAAATAATATAGTTTAGTTAGAAAATAATGGATTATTTTAATTGATATCAATTACGATAGAGGAATTCAGACGTGTCGTGATAAGCATTAATATCGTTTGTTATATATTTCAATATAATGGAACTCCCTTTTCTAAAAAGGTATACGATTTGACTTAAATGACCTAAGCTATATGATAGCAATTGCAAAATTGGATGGTCTAAAATGAATATCAAAAGCATCAATCATAATATGAACGGGTTGAAAAAGTTATACAAAAAAAAAAAAAAAGGTTCGAAAAAATCATAGGATCGGGAAACTTCCATTAAACGAGTTTTCCACTGATATAGGACAATAGTGGTAGAATTACGTTCAACAAATAAAATACGTACACCAATATAGTGACACTGAGCTTGAGTAAGAGAGCGGAGTTACCTCTCTTGAAGTAATAACAACTTCTTTATACGAGGGTTCGGTTAACTAAGTTAGGTTATTTGTGGGTTTCTTTAGCTAGAGGAGTTCACAGCACCCGCCTCATTAGGATTATGGGCACAACGATTTCATGTCGAGGCTGACAAGGGTTAGGTCAAAAGACGTTATTCTGTTTCTTCTTATGGTTCGGTTACTTTTAGCCTCATCCTTATTTTGTTTGACCTTTTTGAGTTTATTCGTTTGGTCCAAAATTACCCGAAACAATAATACATTTAATTTTTAAAAAGCTTTCGATAAATTTAATTTGTTTATTTATTTATTTTAGTTTATAAATTTTGATAGAGAATATGAGAGGAGAAAAAATAAAGGAAAAGAAATATATTCCCTTTCTTTTCAAAGGAAAAAAATCCCCAAAAAATCCCTTTTTCTTTTTCTTTTTCCAAAAAATCTTTTTCTATAATATAATTATCCCATTTTAAAGCATGTGAATTATTTTTTAATTAAGCATCAGACAAGAACATATATTCTGCTTAGTTCAATAATAATAATAATAATAAAATAATAAAAATTTATAAATTGTCCAAAAATTATTATAATTGTTAGATCTCGACCAAGGGAGATCGACTGATCTTGACTCTTTTCCGACTCAAAGGGCCTTGAAAGGCGGAAGAAAAGTTGTTGTTTTGAATTGAGCGGTAAAAGAAAGGCACTGGTCCCTACCGAGATTTGGCTTCATCTTTTATTCTCTTTTTGACTTCGTTCAATTATCGTAATTATCGTAATAGTTTTGTTATTATTCCAGCTCATTTCATTCTAACTCGAACAATTTAAACCTCCCGCTCTACCTATAACAGTAAGGTAGACTTTCCTTTTCGATTTTTTTAGAGAAGTTTTATGTTGGGTGACTTTCTGATATTTTTTCTATAAAGCATGTGAGTAAGAATAAAACATGTTGAAAGAACCCATGTTGGTACGTGAAGATAGTTTTTGCTCTTAAACGTGAAGGGTAAGTAACGTGACTATGTCGCACGGAAACGATGAGGTCATCAGGTGCCGAACCCAGATTCCAAATTTTGATAACGAAATTTTGTTTAATTTTGAAGATTATTCTTAAAATGTTGCATGTGAATGGCAAAGAGCATGCCTATTTGTACTATTGTCTGTGCCTTTAATATGCATATCATTATGAACTCTTAACATGGACTGTTTTTTGTTTACTGTTTATGAGCAAATTAATATTCTATCACGTTCGTTGTCGTTCGAAAATTATTGTTCCAAGCCACGAGGCTCGATCGACAATGCCCATGTAACGATGTCGATGTTGTATTGATGTGTTGCTGTTGTTGTTGATCGTGTTGTCTAGATAATGACAGAGAGGAAAAAATGCTGATTAGTGATGTTGATAATAAAAATTTAAAAGTAGATCTAAAGTTTTAGATCTGAAGTTGATGTAACGTTATACCAAACTTGAATAATGTCGTCTTATATCGAAAAGAAATTTGTATTATTAATTTTGTTTTCGTTTCTTAGAGCAATCTATAGGTTGGGTATCGAATTAATACTTGAGGTAATTCATATTTAAAATGTTAGAGAGAATATTGAAAAGGACAAATACGTAAATTTAGGTATTGCGTGTTCTAATTTTCGTTACTAAATTCATGCTAGCATCCCCTCGAGCACCACATATGGCGGAGAGTAAAGAAAACAACGATAAAAATTCAAATCGAAACCATCATCGAGGAGACTTACAATGACTTCGTATACGTTGTGGTTTGAGGTGAAAGTCAACAAGCAAAATCAAACGATCGAGGTACAACAGTGGCGATCAAGACGAAGATCTAGCCAAGAAGAAGAACGGTAACAGATCAAGCCCACCACTAACAGATATTGTTTGTTTTGGCCCGTTACGTATCATTATCAACCTCACGATTTTAAAACGCGTATGCTAGAGAGAAGTTTCTATATCCTTATAAGAAATGTTTTATTCCCCTCTCCAAACAATTTGGGATCTCACAATCCACCCCCCTTGGGGGCCCGAGCACACTGCCCACTGTTTGAATCTGATACCATTTTTAACAGCTTAATCTCACCACTAATAAATATTGTTCGCTCTGACCCATTACATATCGTCATCAACCTCACGGTTTTAAAACGCGTTTGCTAGAGAGGTTTCCACGCCCTCAAAAGGAATGCTTTGTTTCCCTCTCCAACTGATGTGAGATCTCACAAGAATTGGTCACCCAAACACGAACGAAGAGCCATAACCACGAATGGACACCACCTAGGCTACCCAAACGAACACCAGAGCCAGTGATGCAAGCTTCAAAGCTAATGACGCAAGCTACGGTCAAAACCTATAGCTATTGGTGCAACATAAACACGAAAATTTAGGGGTTTTTTTCTTACTTTCAAAACTTCTAGACTATTACATTTCTTCGAATCTAGACCTCAAGAACAAAAGGTATATTGAAATCACCTTTCGTTCGAATGATTGAATTGATTGATAAAACAACAAGTCGTATTGATGCAATCCTCGAATAAACGAACGAACGAACGAACGAAGATTATATGATTTAATGCCAAATTGATTAGGATTAAAGAAGGAGTAAAACATGAATTGTAAAGAAGAAAGTAGGGCATCACTTTCACACGAAATATTATCCTCATAATGATACCTAAGTGGGCTTGGAACTGTGGCCACCAAATGACCCTTTCCAACCATCCCAATCATGCACACTCCCATCCCTTCACACCTTCTTCAAACTCCATTAATGCTCCCACCATTTTTCCTTTTTCTTTTTCTTTTCAAGAAAATGTCTTTTTCATTACTAAAATCCCATTCCACCCCCCTACCATCTCCATAATTCTCTCCTAATTACGGTTTTCGGCTCCTACGGTTCGCACTCACATGCCTTCTAAGATTTAGGGTTCGGGGTTCGAACTCACATGCCTTCTAGGATTTAGGGTTTAGGATTCAGGGTTCAGGGTTCGGACTCACATGCCTACTAGAGTTTAGGGTTTAGGGTTCAGACTCACGTGCCTTCTAGAGTTTAGGGTTCAGGGTTCAGGGTTCAAACTCACATGCCTTCTAGGGTTTAGGGTTCAGGGTTCATACTCACATGCCTTCTAGGATTTAGGGTTTAGGGTTCAAGGTTCAGGGTTCAGGGTTCAGGGTTCGGACTCACATGCCTTCTAGGGTTTAGGGTTTAGGGTTCGGACTCACATGCCTTCTAGGGTTTAGGGTTTAGGGTTCGGACTCACATGCCTTCTAGGGTTCAGGGTTCGGACTCACATGCCTTCTAGAGTTTAGGGTTTAGGGTTCGGACTCACGTGCCTTCTAGGATTTAGGGTTTAGGGTTCGGACTCACATGCCTTCTAGGGTTCAGGGTTCGGACTCACATGCCTTCTAGAGTTTAGGGTTTAGGGTTCGGACTCACGTGCCTTCTAGGGTTTAGGGTTCAGGGTTCAAACTCACATGCCTTCTAGGGTTTAGGGTTCAAGGTTCGGACTCACGTGCCTTCTAGTGTTTAGAGTTCAGGGTTCAGGGTTCAGACTCACATGCCTTCTAGAATTTAGGGTTTAGGGTTTAGGGTTAGGACTCACATGCCTTCTAGAACCAAAGATCTCCAAGCCTGTGCATACAATTAGTTAGCCTTGCAGCGACAAAAGGATTAGACGTCCCATATGCTACGGTTCCCTACAGCCCGAACCCAGTGCTACATTAGGAGTACGCTACCCTCCTAGGCGTCGATTTTCAAATTTACTTCGTTTTTTTAGTTACACAACAATTGTAGTGTAGAAATCGAACCATCAACTTTTGAGATGACTAACCTAAGATATGTTTGATTATTTTATTTTCTCGAGGTTAATTGATTTATCACGTAACTTCAACCCTATCTAAAAAATTTCAAACCTACAAAACTTTAAGATATCGAAACTTAAAATATCTAGAATTTGGCATCTAAGGCAGAGGAATTATTCGAGGAGATGTATCTCGAGATTTATTTATCTCAAAATTTATTTATGGGTAATAATAAAATAGGACAAAAATAATAATAATAATAAAATTTATGTAAAAAGTGTGAAAAGTATTATTTGATATTCAAAATAAATAGTAAATTTAGGTACACTTTAATGCAAAAGTGGTGAGAATTGGCATCTTTTTTGTTCGGTTTTTTATTTATTTTATTTTATTTTATTTATTTGGTTGTTTTTTGTTTCCTTATTTCCTTTTCTCCAACTAAGCATAGTGTGTATTTGTCGTCACAAAGGGAGAAAACAAGAGAGAGAAACAAACACATTAATTAAGAGAGAGAAAATCATAAGGGTTGGTCCTCCTAACGCCACCTACCCTAAACTAATTATATATTTATATATATATATATATTTCTTAAATTACGAAATATTAAATTTTTTATTATGATGGGGAATGAAATAGGTAGCGGGAATGGGACGTAGAAGGTTTTTTTCGTCCTCATCTTGTCTCGTGGACATCTCTACTTTCCTGTCTCTGTCTTTGTTTAACTGATTGGGAGAAATCTCTTCTCACTCTCTTCTCGATTTTTCATTTAAATGAGGATTTCCTATTCGAACCACACAGATTAAATGGATGTCTCTAATTTTAATAATAAAAAATTATTTTTTTTTTCATCGTGATACCTTTAGACATATTCTATTTTAGTTTATGTAATGACTCATGTCCAAAATTATTATCAAGATTTGGAATTTGAAATTGGCACATGATGACTCCGACATTCCTTAGTGACATGATCATGTTACTTATTATTTGCTTCTAAAGTGGAGACTATTTTCACTGACCAACTAGTATGTTTTTCCTCACTTACATGCATATTAAAAAAAATCCGAGGAGGTCACTCAACAAAGAATCGTTCCAAGCAAAACACGCTCTTTAACTGTAGAGTTTCTATAATTGAGCCACTGAAGAAGAAGGTGCACATTGTTGGTGTAAGTAGTAACTTTCATTTTCTTTAAGTCTTTCTTAGTCATATTATTGTTAAGGGTGTCACATGCCCAACACCTTTCGTCTTGGTTTGTCCCAAACCATACCTTACTGGGAGAGGTATCAGTTTGATACTATTTGTAACGAACCATGTCCATGATTCAAATCCAAATACTGAATCATAATCCAATTCTTGGATATGGGACATTAAATTTGTAATGGCCCAGATCCATCGCTAGGAGATATTGTCCTCTTTGGGCTTTCCCTTTCGGGATTCCCCTCAAGGCTTTAAAACGCGTCTACTAGCGATGGATCTGGGCGTTACAAATGATATCAGAGTCAGACATCAAACGATGTGTCAACTTTCTTGCTATTCCCTGAAGGGGGGTAGACATGAGGTGGTGTGCCAGTAAGGACGCTGGGCCCCGAAGGGGGTAGTTTGGTGGCGGTCCCACATCGATTGGAGGAAGGAAAGAGTGCCAACGAGAACACTGGGCCCCGAAGGGGAGTGGATTGTGATGTCCCACATTGGTTGGGGAGGAGAACAAAACATCATTTATAAGGGTGTGGAAACCTTCCCTAGCCCAAAGAGGACAATATCTACTAGCGGTGGATCCAAATCTTCCAATATTTTCAATTCTATTTTTTTTTTAATAAAAAAAAGACACTTTAGAATAACATATAGCTAAAAACATTATACATAAAAATTAAAATAGAATAGACCAAAGTTTGATACAATAATGAGAGTGGATATCATATTTTTTAAAAAAATTATTTTATTGAAAATAAGATTGGATATGTAATTATTGAGCATATGGCATATTCAAATATGTGGGAATTAAATAATTGAGAGCGTGAGGAATGGAATTTAATCTAATAAGAGAGGGCATTTTGGAATTTCGAGAAAATTATATTATTATTATTATTATTATTTACAGAAAATAACAAAAAAACATTTAATCTACTCCAATTTAAAAACATTATCTTATAACTGTAAATAATTAAATAATTATATAATTATATAATGTCCAAAATAAAAGGTCATGTCACGTTTTATTCAGGCATTATCATCCACGAATCGTACATGGCGCAATTAAAAAAATGGAAGAGTAAATGAAAATGCTTTTAATTACGTCATTCCCCAAAAAAAAAAAAAAATACCATTATTCTTTTGTTTTTATCCTCAAAATAATAATAATAATACACGTACAAATTAAATTATAAATTTTAAAATTTTAAAGACACGTTTGGTAACAACTTAAGTTTGGTCTCTTCAGAGGCTCAGTGCCTTCGAGAGGTTTTCGAGATCTTACGGTCCACCCTTTTTAGGGGTCAGTGTCCTCGTTAGCACACAAGTCACTATCTAGCTTACCACAAGTAGATATGGTTCTTTATGAGCTTCCCTTCTTTTTAGAGATTTATAAGTCATTTTTAATAAGTTATTAAATATTTTTTTAAAAATAATTTATTTTAAACATAAATTTAAATTAAAATAATTTTGCCTAACCATTTAGACAATTTCCCAGAATATTACGCCAATCTAATAACTTTAATTTCCCAAAATGGGTATCAACTCATTTAATAGATGGTATTCCTTAAGCTAAAATTCACATACTTCAGGAGGGTAATAAAGGAAATTACATTTACCCACTAATTTTAATATTAAATAATTAAAGCCTAAAATAAAAAAAAATAAAAAAGCAAGAAAATTAATATTTCTATTTATTGAACAATTAAAAAAATTAAAAAAAATTTGAAATAGATTTTTATGGATTTATACGCCTTATCATGTTGCTGGATTCCAAGTTTATATGAATTTCTGGAGGTCGACTTCAAAGTCATAATCGAGATTTTCGTAAGAGAAAAGAAGACCGAGTACCAAGGGAGTATCCGTATCCATAAAATACCGACACGTATTAAATAATTATTTAATTTAAAAAAAAAGTTAGTAATTTATGAATTTATTATTTATAAAGTTGGAATGCGTAAAAGAAATGTTAATTATCCATAGCCAGAAGTATATCATATGACGTGAAAGATACTTGAAATTTGAAAATGGTCCACAATGGCATGACGTGGCTGTCAATGCTGTGGTCCCACCTTTTGTCTCCTCAAATGGTCCCCACACTCTTTATTTTTTATTTTTTATTATTATTATTTATTTATCTTTTTTACACTTTTGCCCTCTGTCTTCCACCCCCATCAAAAAGAAATCCCCTTTATATATTCTCTTCCATTTCGCTTCCTCCGTTCATCATTCTCTGTTTTCTTTTCCCATTTTCTCTCTATTTCTTCCCTCTCTGTTTCCGCCATGTCAGCCGCCGTAGCAGCCGCCGCCGCCGCCGCTGCCCTAGCCCGACGGAGCTCCTCCTCTTCCTCCTCGTCCACTACCTCCAACCGATCCTCCTCCGGCTCTTTCTACAGTCAATACTACCCGTCGCCCTCTGTATCGGTCCGACAGCCGCCATTGGCCAGCCGGTATGAGTGCCGGAAACGGCTAGACTGGAGTAAATTCCGGCAGTATCTGAGAAGTCGGTGCCCGACATTGAGCCTCTCCACCTGCACCGGAGCGGATATTGTCGAGTTCCTCTGCTATTTAGACGAATTCGGCGACACCAAAGTACACGCCGACACCTGCCCTAATTTCGGCCACCGCTACCCGGTCGATCCCTACTGCGATTGCCCCACCCAACAACCGTGGAACAGCGTCGCCGGTCTCATCAGCCGCCTCCGCGTCGCCTTCGAGGAAAACGGCGGCAACCCAGTCACCAACCCCTTTAATGCCGTCGACGTCAAAATTTACCTCGACGACATTAAGGACTCCCAAAACAGATCCCGAGGAATTGATCGGTAAGAATAAAAAAAAACACAGTAAAAATAGCGTTAACTGAGACACACACCGCCGCCGAGCTCGGCGGCTATGGCGGATTCCGATCCCAAATCTTACCGGACTGGTTTGATTTTCCGCCATAGCTAAGAATTTCAAGGAAAATTTGACTGAAAACGCTTACTCCTCTGGATTCGCTGTACAAATTAAAGAACCCAACAACTTAATTTATTTTTTCTTCCTTTTATGTAAGAATCTAAAACAAAATATTAGATTGGGTTCTTCACATCTTGTTTGTATTATTTAGCAAATTGATTCAATTTTATGAAATGGGTCTTGTTCTAATTTGTTTAAGATATTGAAATTTTAGGTCTTGATGTGAATTAAAGTTTGGCATAAAAAAAAAATAAAAAAATTCCCCATTTGATTATGATAAGAAGTTTCCTAGAATTGTTTTTTTTATAATTTTTTTTAATTTTCACGACCGCGTTAGTAAAAGAATCATTAGCTATAATTCATATCTTATCGACCAAATTATACTCAGATTTACCCTAAATTAATCTTAATAATACAGATTAAGAGTTCGACTTATATTAGATTAATTAACGTAGGTTCTTAATTAATTCGGAGTGAGTTTGATTTAAGTTATTTTAAATGTCAGCACTTATTATTTAATTTTTTTGATGATGATATTTTAATATATAAATCAAACGATATAATAAAAATAATGAACGAGTCCAATAGAATTTAGTTTTGACTTTTAATTTTTTAATTTTTTTTTAATAAGATAAGAACAGAATCACTAAATTGATTAATTTTTTAAAATGGATATTATAGGAAAACCTTGTTTTCCAAGTAATGCAAAAAAGCAAAAAAGCAAAAAAAAAATAAAATAATAATAATTAAATTAATTAAGACCAAGAACAAGTCATCAAAAATATAATTTTTAATTAAGAATATCTTTTTTCTTCTCTCTCCTCATTTTTTTTCTCTCTCTCCTCTTCGTTAACTTATGCAAGTACCTTATAGTACACAAGAATTTGACAAAAAAAAAAAAATAATAATAATTAAAATTGAGTTAAAATATTAATTATAGGGTTGAATTTATTTCAAATGTAATTTTATAGCCACATAAATTAAAGTTGTGGCCATATTATAGATATTTCCACGTTATTTACCTCCAAAATTTCCCTTTTTTTTTCAAATAAATGGTGGGGAAAAGAGCTGACTTTTATTTTAAAAAATGACCTAACTTTGCTTTATTTATTTATTTTTTAATTTTTAAATTTCAATATTATTTGTGGAAATAGGTGGTTTTGGATCATATTTTTGTCTTGTTGCCCTTTTTTTTTCTTTTTTTTAGGTAATTATGATTATGATTTTGATTAAAAATATTCATAATTTATTATATATAAGCAAAAGTTTAATTAAAAATCAATTTTATCTGTTGATTTGATAAAGCGATACGATAACGTTGGAGTGAGAGATAGTGCGTTCATACTCTTTTGATATTAGACGTTTTTATTATTTATTTATTTATTTACAGATATTGATGGAAGATATATTTTATTCTTATGTCCATAATTTAGAGGTTTTTGGGCTTTTGGGTTAATTTGGAAGCCCGTGATTGAATGATACTTTTTTTGGGTTGGGTTGGGTTGTGTTAAAAAATTTTTTTAGACCAATCTGAATTTTCGAGTTGATTTGGTGAGTGATTGGACCTGGTTGGATATGTGTTGTATACATACCCTTGGCCCTGGCTTGGTTGGACACGTTAACTCGTCGTCGGACGACACAGAAAAGGAAAGTCCTGCATGATATCATGACGAACATAAATATCAAAGACATGCGTCTGTACTAAGATAATATAACAGGGAAGTATCCTGATGCACATGACATATATGCATGCATGAGGTCCCCATGATTTATATGCGTAGCATAGCATTAACATCATTCCTTTTCTCCTTTCACCCATGACATAGTGTATATGCATCATGTATACATGATAGTCATCACATGACCCGTCGCATATCTTTACATGGCAAGACATAGCATGACATGGTATTTGATAAGCGCCAATTTGCAAAGGTAGAGGTTCTTCTAGGATCTTTGCAAACTTTCATGAACAAAGCTAACTTAACGAATGATTAAAAAATAATTTAGAGACTTATTGGATTAAAATTGAAATATTAGAGTACGGTTTAGATAATGCCCGACATTAAAGTGAAGGTCCAAACTCAGTCGTAGTCTAGTCTCCCTACGAGCTTAAGTCACTGTTTGGGTCTGCGTCAGCTGACCCAACGTACAATAGTCAAGCACCCGACCCGACCTTTAAGTTAGACTCATTAAATCAATGTTTGGATTGAACTTAGCGTACTATTGGATCTCGGTCAGACGGGTCGGATCTATAATAACCAAGCCCATGACCCAACTTTTTAAATTTTACTCATTCAATCCAAGTTTGAATTTCTGCCCTTTTTTTTTACTATCATTTTCAATTTTTTTAATTATAATTTTCAAGAATGATTTGAATGGTTGATCAAATTTCAAAAATTAAGAGAAAATCTTAAAATTTTAATTTAGTATTTTTAAAACAACCAGTGAACAATAAATTTTATAAATATAAAATTTTACAACTAAAACTAAAAATTTATATTTATTAAACTCGTTTAAATATATATATATATTTTTGAAACTTTTTAAAAAATTCATAATTTAACCAAAAAAAAAAGGAAGATAGAGTGAATATTTATCCGAATTGCTATTCCATAGAAGGAACTAGCGTTCGTCTCTCCGTCGAGCTGCGCCGGCGCCGATAGCCGGAGAAGGTTTAGACAATTGCCGGACGAGGTGTGGACGACTGCCGGACAAGGTGTGAACGATTGCCGGACAAGGTGTAAACGATTGCCGGACAAGGTGTGAACGATTGCCGGACAAGGTGTGAACGATTGCCGGACAAGGTGTAAACGATTGCTGGACAAGGTGTGAACGCTTGCCGGACAAGGTGTGAACTCTTCTATATAATCATAGAACGGAATTGCAGAGGTTAAGTATTATCTAAGTTTTCCACGGAGAATTAGGTCGTTGCAATATGATAAAATGCTCTTTGAGCCGCAGATAGAACAAGAACAGCCGAGAATGATGATGTAATCATATTGCAAGATTCAGGGAGGGATTGTTCCTCCGTCATTCTGGAAACTACTCCAATTGCTGTCATACAAAGAGCAGTTAGTTTTTTCTTGCTTTTACCTTTGCGTTTTGATGTTTACTCCGTGTTTCTACTTTGTGCCTGAGATTTCGGTTGGAGTATATTGGTATTATTCATGAACTAGGAGAAGTTCCAAAATGGTGGGAGTAATAATGGCGAATGCAAATTTGTGCATCCCTTGTTGTGAAGGAAATGGATTTCCGGCACTGTATTGTACCCAGAATTCCCATTATTTATTAGGGTTTTCGGTTTTTCCTAGTTCGGTATCTGGAAGTGGCTTAAATTTTGGCAGTGCGAAGAGCAGAGTTTTAAGGCACAGGGGACATAAATGTGGAGCAATTAAGGCTTCATCAAAGGGAGAATCTGATATTCAATTGGCAAGTGGGAATCTCCTCGAAAAGGATTTTCAGTTTAAGCCATCTTTCGATGAATATGTGAGGGTTATGGAGTCCGTTAGATCTAGAAGGTATAAGAGGCAGTCGGACGATCCTAATAAGATGAAGGAAAATGCGAGTGCAAAGAGCGCTGAAAGCACTTTCATTTCTAACATAGTGACTGATGTTCAAGGTAATATGGACGTAAAGAACAAGGTTGTATGTGTTGATGGGGAGGATTTGTTTGATAATTCAGAGAAAATTACACGTAAAACAGATTTGTCGGGAAATAAATTTGATAGCAAAAGGAAAGGGGTTACAAGATCAAAGGATGAGCTTAAAGGCAAGGTGACACCTTTTGAGTCACAGGTAAATGATAAACAACATGAAGAGAAAAGGAATGGAAACTGGTCGAATTACATTGAGCCAAAAGCAACTAGGTCGAACCATGATAAACGACTTCATTTTAAGGCTAATACATTGGATGTGAAAAGTGAAAGCCACGGAGTACGTTATGGAAGTTCCATGAAAATATCGGACAAGATTTGGGCCGATGATGACTCTAAACCAACTAAGGATGTTCTGAAGGTTGGGAAGTATGGTGTTCAGCTCGAAGGAAACTATATTCCCGGTGACAAGGTTGGTAGAAAGAAAACTGAGCAGTCCTACAGAGGGTTATCCAAAAGTGGTAAGCGGTTTCATGAATTTACTGAAGAGAGTAGCTTAGAGGTCGAACATGCCGCCTTCAACAGTTGTGATGCAGAAGACATAATGGACAAACCAAGAGTTTCAAAGATGGAAATGGAAGAGAGAATCCAAATGCTCTCTAATAGGTTTGCTGTCCCTTGCTCACTTCTCTTGCTGAAAGTTTAAAATTAACTTGATACAAGTTTGAGACCACAACTAATACCTTATTTGGTATGCTTGCTTTGTTTTTTTGGGATTTATTATTTGTCCTCGTACTTGACTTACAAGCGAATTGTAATATTGAACTTTCAGTTCAATCCAATTAAACTTTGAACTTGAATAGTCAGTGAAATTAATGCTCTCAATTAGTTAAATCTCAATGGACGAGGTTGTTTTTGTCTGGTTTCTCTGGTTGTATTTTATAGTTTGGTCAGGATATTTTATTGTTAAGTTCAGGTGCTTTTTTTCAGGGTTGAGTTTAAGTATTTCTGTGGAATTTTTTGTGTTGTGCTGCTTGAATTTCAGGTAATTTATAGGCAATAATCTAATTTAGTTTGAAGATTATTAACTTCACCTCTTATTCAATTATGGATTTTTGTGTTCAATCTAAAAACTTAGAAGTCTACTAAGCTAAATATAGGAGAGGTAAAAATGAAAATTTCTCCTTTTATTCCTTCTCCTCCCCTTTTTCCATCCTTGTTTCAATAATATAATGGAGTATTCTCGTAGAACTTGCATTTGGTTATAACTCAATTCCATTGAGTAATATATGTTAATGCGTTCAAATGATGGTCGTGGACTGTTACTAAACTATTGTTTATATTTTCTTTTTATCTCTCACACATACGCTGCTGGCTCTTGAGCTATTCATTATATGCTGACCTCTCACAAAATCATCTCCAACATCTTTTATGATTTGAAATTAATTACTAATTTGCACTCGACTGTACTACGAGGGGATTCCATGAATACGAATAAAATATCAATTACTTGAATTTTGTGGATTATATCAATTGTAATCACATTTACTTTTCAATGATAGTAACAAAGACTTAATGCTTCATTAGTCTTTTCATATTAATTCATTTGAATTGAACTTTTTTTAACAGATTAAATGGTGCAGACATTGAT